AGCTGATAGATATAGCTGATCTATACTATATCATATTGGGACTATAAGATATATTATTGCATCGGTTTTCTCTTAGTTGAATTCTTTAAGTTTAGTCTAGAATCTTGAGTCGATGTCAGAAAAAGCTGATATTAGCTTGTCTACTATTGCTATGTTCTTAGATTCAGTTTTTAAAAATAGATTATCTATGTGTATTATTCTTTCTTGATGTATAAATGCACTTGCTAGGTCTTTCAATTTAGCATATATAACTAGATTACTATCTACTTAGATCGAATATAGGTATTCTCTAGCAATAATTCGTGAGCATTTTCTTTTTTCTAATATATAGTCTTTAAAGAAGCATCCTTTGCATGAGACTAGCTTTCCACTTGCTTATATTGTATAATGTACTATTGTTGCACTTATGTTATTATAGCTAGTTATTTTTCCGTATTTAAGTTCAGATGTGATTATCTATTTTTTATTTTGTGAGTGCTATTTCTTTAATGTATATGGATTTGGAGTCACAAATACTAGAGAGGAATTTATAGCTGAGGCAATAATGTCTATAATTTTAGTAAACCATCTAGGTTCTTATCTTCAAGGTATTTTGGTAAGGTTGTTATGCATTTGCTTCTAACTCAGTATATCTATATTATTGTGATTTAAGAGTTGCTCAATATCAAGAATATTGTGTTTTGTCAAATTGGTTTTTATATAATGTGCATTTTGTTGTATTGCTAGTATTGTATTTATTGAAGTCCCTAGTGTATTTTGTGGAATTGGCCAAGAGTTTGCTAGTCTTATTAGCTGTAAGTAGAAAGAGTATAATGCATATATTGCCTGTATGGTATGTGATCGATGTTGTTTCATTGAAAAAATGAGTAGGTGTGTGAGTATTGATAAATTAGTTGCAGCTGCATCTTGTAATTGTTGTAATCTAATTTTTAGTGTTGATTTGTAGAAGTTAATAGAGTTTATCTCTCTATTTAGATTAGTATATAATTGTAGATGTTGTTGTTGTTTTACAGATTTGAGTATGTATATATTAGGATATGTCAAGAATGAGTTTGGTATAGAGTGTGCAATTGATGCTTTGTTTCTAACTACTTCAGTATAAGATTTAGTTAAAATAGCAATTTGTTTATCTGTTAGATAGCAAGAATTAAGTCAGTAAAGTAGTCAAGGAATTAGCATACAGTTAATCAAATATATAGCTTGTTTTTCTGTAATTTTTGCTCATTTTAACTTCTGGATGCATTGCATTGCTTCTTGTAAGATTAATTCTTGTGCTGGTTTATATGTAGGATTATCTGTAAACCAGGCTCCCAAGTATTTGAATACTACATCTGCTTGGCTTTGTAGAATAAGCTTATCACGAAAAATTATATCAGTGTCTATGTATTTTGAGTTTGTATATGAAACTGACTTTAGAGAATTGACCTGAATATTGTGTAGAGTATAGAATGAGTTTGCAGTATCTAGAATATCTAGTAGGTCTTTTTTGTTGTGTGCAATCTATACTAAATCATCCATATATGCTATTACTAAAATATTGATATCTCATATTTCATTTAGAAATTTTGATTTTAGTTTATATCCACTATATTCTGTATCAATTCTCATTATTAGGGGATCATAATAGATTCTCTATAGAATAGGTGAAATAGTTTCCTTCTGGTTAATTCTATCTCAAACATTATATGAGTTTGAGAGTCCGAAATCTGTGATAACTTGATTCCTTCAGTTTGTGAAAAGAAAGCTTATAAGTGAAATAAACTTTTTTAGGAGCCTTATTTGTCTCATTGCTCTTGACAGAGTTGGAATATAGATTGTGTCAAAGGCCTTCGACATATTTTGTAGAACTATCCATAGTTCTTTATTATTTTCAGTTGTATCTTCGTATATATAATTCAGTATATTGATATTATTTTGTGTTGACTAGTATGGTAAAACTGCTGAATTACAAGGTGAGATAATTTCATGTTTTGCAAGTTTAGTGGTAAGTCGAACTGTAAGAATTTTGATAAAAATTTTTCGTATATGCTCAATGAGTGTTATAGGCTATATATAGTTTAAGTCATTTTTATAATGTTGTTTTTTAGAAACTAGCCAAATATTTGAATTGAGCCAATTTTTAGGTATATACTCTAGTTCTAGACAAGCATTCATGATATCTAAGAGTATGGAGAGTGCAATCTCTAGAAGTTGGCGAAGCATTTCATTAGATACTTAGGAAGGTCCAGGGGCTTTGTTATATGGCGATATCTTAATAATATCTTGTAATTCATCTATTGTGATTGCTGCTATAAGGTTATTGTAGATAGGGAGTAATATATTTTCTATTGGTTCATAGTATTTTTTCCAGGTATACCAAAGACTATTGTTTGGTGGGTTATATTTGGTCTAATTATCAAAGTGCTTACTAGTATATTCCTTTATTTCTTTTGAGTCTGTGATTATTTTGTCTGCTAATAATCTTTTGGAAATCTATTTTTTGTTTTTTTTTGTTTTAAAATACTGTTTAACATTTTTGATGTGTTGTTCTAGAAATCATTATATCTTTTATTTACAAAGAATTTTATTCTTTCTGTCTGTTCAAGATTTAGCTCTAGATTTCTTGCCTTCCAGAATTCATCTCTTTTTTCATACAGAATTATTTTGGTAGGCGAATTAGGAGTTGCTAAGTTAGTATCTATCACAAGTGGTATATTTTAGTTTGTTAGCTTGTTCATCCTTGTTATATGTTTGTTGATTTTTTTTGTAATCTCTTGTGTAGATATTGGGATTTTCGCAGTTTGCTATGCTCATTGTGCTTTCTTAATATAAGTTAATGATTAGTGAAGTAGAGTAGCCTTCAGTGAGAGTGCGTAAAATTGTTTATTCGTACTATATGAGAAAGGAATATACTTATTTGCTGCTTGTTTTACTATACTAATCCAGTTGTCCCATAGTTTGTTGAATATTGTTGAATTAGTGATAGCTTTATTGCTACATTTTTCTCGCATCTCTTTGCTGATTAGGTTTCTGAACTCTTCTCATTGTTCTTTGTCATTTTATCATAATTATAGAATTTATGTCTACATTTTTTTTGTCGTTTTTGTTTATAGGTAAAATTTGTATACCATATAATCGCTAATATACAATGATCACTATCTGTAATGTTGTAAGGATTAATTAACTCTGGTATTTCTATATTCAATATGAGTTCAGAAGTAGTCTATATATCATCAATTTGGCTCGATAGGTATCTTCTTTTCCATGTAGGCAATATAATATTATGGAATTGTAGTAGACTATTTAAGCTTAAAGTTTCTAGATATGAGAATAAGATTTTGCATTTGTTTTTGAGCAGGTAGTTAGCATTGAAATCTCCTATAATTATACATTGCCAATTTCTTGTTTTTGCTTCTGTTATCTAAGAATTAATTATCCTTTGTGTGCTAGTTGCTAGCTCTGGGTAGTTTGTTAGAATATAAATCGAGATGAATCTTATTTTGTTGTTTCCTGGAAACCAAAGGTCGATGAATATTGCTGTACTAGGGAAGTTTCCAGTATTGTTGATATATGGACAAATTGATGAGTGTATTGCTAGTGCAGTTCCTAGAGCTGCTTCTCATTGTGTATTATTTTTAGATATGAAATTAGATGAGAAGATTTTGTAAAGTGAATTAGATAGTGTTGTTAAGCTATCTGTTTTGAGTTTAGTCTTTGTTATTGAAATAATATGTAATTGTTTTTTTTTATAATAAGTGAGCCAGTTATGTAGTTTAAGTCTATTGTTTAATCCTTGTATGTTATGTGTTGCAAAGTTGATTTTTTGAGGAGTTTTTTCATCAATTATTTTTGTTGTTTTCAGTACTAACTTCCATTGTCATATTGAATTGAGTATGTTGTGTATTGTTGTTGTCAAAGATTTCTCAGCTAGGCTCTAGTAGATCTGGTAAGTTAAAGATAAATAGAAGGAAGATTTGGCAAGTAAAATATTTATGTAGGAGTTCTGTTATTTCAAGTACTTCTTTGTGTGTTTTGATTAGGAAGTTGAGATGTGAGAGCAAATTAATATTTTCTTTTTTATCTAATATATAATATTCATTATTAATTTTAAAAAATTCTACATATCTTTTAATTACTTATACATTAATAAATTCTTTATGACCAAAGTGATAAAATATTTTTATCCCAAATTTAGATATTTTTTTATCTAATACATTAGCACATTCAATATAAGCAAGCATTACAGTTATATTATTATACTTGTAATCAAAGTACTACAAAACTTTACTAAAAAACTATTTAATAATAAGTCTTTTAGTTTTTCTATTTTGCTCAGATACTTTTAGTTCATACTATTTAATATTAATTATAAAATTAGTAATAATTAATTTTAATTATATAATAATTATTATTATTAAAATTATACTATTATACAAGAATTATTTCATAATGAATTTTTATTTTGTAATGATATTTTTGATCTAATTATATAGCCATCTATAGTATGCAAACATGCAAATTTTCTATCATTACATTTTAACTATTAAATAAATAAAATAAAATATAAAATTAAATATTTATAATTATATTATTTAAATATTATTATACTTATAATATTTAACTTGTATTACTTGAATATTTGAATTATAGCTTTCTTAATACTATTGAAGCAAATGTTTAAATTTAAGACTTGTAGAGTTGAAAGTATAATATTTTGTAGACCACCAAAGTTCTTTACTATCATCATTAGTTTGATAAAACACTTTATTACTAGAAGTTATTTTTTTTAATTTTTTATCATTACAGTAATTAGATATATATTTTAAATGATTAAATTGTTCTAATAAAGGAATATTATTAACCAAATTAGTATAGAGATAAAAATATGAATTAACTATTAGTTAAAGTATTCCAATTAGATACTCTATTAGATATTGCTAGTGTGTTCATAAAGGATCACATTGATGAATTGAATAAGTAACATACAACAAATAATGAAATGTTATAGTAAATATAGCAAGCTATTTTTTATTAAATTGATCATAAAATCTAAAAAATATATAAAATATAATAGCTTAATAATATTTTAAAAAAATATAAAAATTAAATATTATTTATTACCTTTTATAATGTAAATAAAAACTTTGAAATAATAAATGAATATTATTAATATCATGCTCTGTAAGAGAATATTGACAATATTTTTGAACAGCAAGTACATATATAGCATATTCTTTAATAATTCTAAAATAAAAATTTATTAATCAAATAATTTATTAATAAAACTTTTATTTATTACTAAGTATATTTACTCCTTATTCATATATAGAAGTAATAATAGAATTGAATAAAGAATTATCTAATTCATTTATTCTTTAGCTTTGAAACCCTTATAATATTTAATATTATTAGGTGAACAGCCAAATTCTGATAGCATATTATGAGAATTATTAATCATATCTTTTCTAATCTTTTCTTAAATATTAGATTTTAAAAAATATATATTATTTTTATTTAATTCTGTTTTTGATAATGAAAAAAATTGTTTAGACCAATGACAATACATTGCAGATATTACTCCTTCAAAAAATAAGTACATAATATCTGTTGGAAATGATTCAAGAAAGTGTATACTATTAAGTTTAAATACTCTATGTATCACTGCTTCTTCTATTTCTATAATACTAATTTCTATATCTTTGCTATTATCTATTACTTCAGTATTAACTACTTCTCTATTATCTTTATAAGATGAAGTTGGTATTATAGTAGTTGTGAGCTCAATATCTCTATAAATCTTATTAAGTATCTAGTGCCATTCTGCATACTTAAGTCTGATCAAATAGCTCATATTATTTCATTTCCCTAACTTGTAGCTTCTGCATATGATCATTAATGTAGAAGTTCCTGAGTTATCATTTTCTTCTATTTTCCAGTACTCTACTATAAAGTACTTAGACTCTTTTTTTGTAACTCTTTCACATTTAAGTTTTTCTTCTTTTTTAAACATTACCCATTTTTTTTTCTTTTATCTGCAAATACTCTTAGTTCTTTGCACCTTATTGCTAAACTGTTTGGCAAATCTATCTGAAACTCTGCTTTCAGAGCTCTTAAGCTACTATTTTTGAGAACTTTTATCTCCAAATCTTTGTACTAGTTTGGTTTTTATTCTCTTCTCTTATACCCTCTAATAGTTTTGACTTGTTGCTATATTAGCAGAATATTATCATTTCTTGTAATTAGCTGCTCTAATACAAAAACATTTATATTATTGCTATTTCTGTAGTTGATTACTTCTTTTTTCCCTAGTATACTTAATAGACTTGTGCCTTTTAGATTTAGACTAGTTTTATAATACTGCTTTCTTGAAAACTAAAACCTAGTTTTTTTGCCTTTGCTATCACTTTAAAGGCTAGATTATATCTGAGAACTATGTTGTCTAACTTTACCTCACTGCTAGTTATATTACTTAAACAAGTGCTTTTGTATTATGCTTCTCTAATTCTGAGTCTTGTGATAATTTCTAGCTTATCTTGTCTATTCATACATATTGTTAGTTCTGTAATATAGTGTACTAACTGATTCTGCTAAATTGTACATATTCCTAATATTTTTAAATAACTACATATGCTGTTTAGAGCTGATTTCACTAAACCTAATTTGTTTTTAATTAGTGTCCAAATGGGCTTTTGAATATGCTTGCATGTATTTTTAGAGAGAAATGAGATTTGAAGTCTGTATTCAATACTCAGTAGTAGAACACTATTATTTAGATAAACTAGCTAGCTTATTGAAGCTTTTTTTTACAGAATAGCTTTACACATCTTTGCAACTTCTTTTAAGATAATTAGTTTATTGCATTCTTTTCCATCTTTTTCAGATATCTATACTCCAAGATGTCTTATTGCTTCTTTTCCTTTTTTTGCTCATACTAAGTCTTGGTTTTTGCCTAGACTGATTTTGGGTATATAATTTGCTTTTCTTCTGTTGTCTTTGAGGTTAAATACCAAAAGCTCTGATTTTTTACTATTGATTTCAATATTATTAAGCTCATAAAACTTGTTAAGATATCAATAATTTTTTGTAACTTCTTTTTCAATCTTGCTATTCAAGTTGTATCATCTGCGTAAGCTAATACTCTTTGCTGCCAATATGATACTTGAATTAAATGAGTTTTTTAAACTTAATAATATAGAAATAAATAGTATGAAGTTCAAATTAATTATATGGAAGCTAAACAAGAAATTCAGTAAAGGAGAAAGAATTTAGATAGAAACACTACTAAAGTCTATTGAAATTAAAAAAGCATATGAAAATACAAGATTTTTAGAAGTATGAATAAATCTCAAGAATTAAAAAAAAGCAAATATAAATAGATGCAACAAGAAGGTTAGTAGAATAACAAGTATACTCAGATTTAAAAAGCTATCATTACAGCAAATTGTCTATATAAACAATATAGTATTACTACAAAAGTTAGAATATTTGCTAGCAAATACACTAATTACTAAAAAAAAATATAATGCAATTTACTAACTAATATTAAGACTAATTAAACAAAAAGCTGAGCTACCAGTAACATGTGCAAATGCTATAATTCTGCAAAAAAAAATCTTTAGTATCATGAGTTTATAGCAAAAACATATTGAATATCATATATCTAAACTCTTCATAAGAATAAACACAGAAAGATTAGTAGGAGATACAACTAATATAAGACTAAAACAATATCAACTAGATATTAACTTAGCTAAATATATTCTAACATCCAAAAATGATATATAGAGAGAGTCAAAAACTAGAAATATAAGTACCAAAGTTCTTTAATATGCCAAAAAAATAATTTTCAAAGTAGTAGTAAATTACAATATACAAAACTAGAACATTTTGAAACAATGAAAAAAAAATGAGTTACTAATTGAAAGTATACTCAGAAAGATTAGGTATATTGAAAAAACAACAAGCAGAACAAAGTTAAATATTTGGCATCTTAATTAGCTTCTCAATTCAAGAAAAAATAGAATAATAACTTAAAAACAACTCAAAGTACTAAGAGGTAAAAGGTATTTACAACTCTAAAAAAAGAAGTATTATAGAATAATAAAAACAGAAAAGTAAAAGATATGTACAAATACTAAGAAAGGGTGCAACTAGTTCAAAAAAGATATCAAGTATCAAATGATAAAAGAAAAAAAGAGTAGGTAGCTTTTACTAAAAATTAAGGAAAAAGCACAAAGTTAGATTGTATTATTAAGAAGAGAAAAAAGTATACAGAAAGAGAAATATGGAAAGAAGGCCAAGAAAATTCTGAGAACTAGCTACTCATATACAAAGAGGAAATCAAAATACAAAAAACTGAGAAGTACAAAAAATGAGTAGTACTTAAAGAATTGAACAATATTTCAAAGTTTATAAGAAAAAGAATAATACATCATATATAGTAATAAGCAAATCAAATCTTAATAAATTAAATTAACAGGAAAAAGAACCTATATAGCTATAAGAATACAAAGAATTAATTAGCTTAGAATAACTAGAAATTGAAGATAACTGAGAAGCAGAGTTAATTAACCAAGTAGTTAAGAATAAGATAACAAGATTGAAACTAAAAAAAAGTTTGAAAAAAATATAAGAAAAACAAAAGTAGTTATATATATAGATAGATCATTTTTGAAAGATTATAAAGGAAAACAGCAAAGAATAGGATATAGTATAATACAAATAAATGAGCAAAATAATATAGTATGTAGTCTTAAAAGTAGAATAGAAAACTGGTTTTTATTGATTTTGCAAAATTAGTAGTTTGTTTGATCATCTTATTAATAATACCTAATAGATACTAAGTTGAAATTCTAACAGATAGTGTATGTACAATAATATCAATAACAAAAAGCCTTAGAAGTAAGAGTATGAGAAAATAGATAAAGCTTAAAAACAATAGCATCTTGTATGCAATTTGTAAGATATGTAGAAGAAACAAGTAGAACTAAAGCTAACTAAAGTCAAAGAATACTCAGAAAACATATTTAATACTATAGCAGACAGTATTACAAGAGAAGAAGCAAAAGAAAACAATATACTAAAAATAAATAACATTAGTATCAAAAATGTTAATTTTATTCTAGAATAAAAAATCTGCAAACTTGATATTCTCTTAAAAATCTTTGTCAAATAGCTTGTTCAAGTAATTTATAAAGCAGAATGGGTCTTTATAAGGAAAAAAAAAAATAATTAGTATTAGTATTATCTCAAAAATCAAAACTAGAAAGCATTTAAAGAAATCCTAAAAAGCTGCTATAACCAACAAAAAAATAGCATAGAAAGAAACTACCTATGCTTTTTCAAAATAAAATGTATTAAAAAACTACTTCTAACTATCAACATATTAAATATTAGGAGATCTAACCTGTATAGTAATAGTATGTATAAAAGGTATTTTAAAGAAACTGAAACAAATGAATATATATTTAGCTATGAAAAATTTAATGAACAAATGAACAATATAAAAATAGAAATATAGAAAAAAATACAAAACAGTAAAAAATAGCAAGAAGAATAGAACCTCAAAAGACTACAACAAGTATTTTCAAAACTAACATGAGACAAAAAATACTTACAAAGAACTGAATAGCTTCACAGAATCTTGAACAAATATGACGCAATAAAGATTCAAGAAATAGTTAGTTCCAAAAAACAAATACTTAATTTTAGTATATCTTCTAGAATATTTGAATAGAAGGTATATATAAAGAAATATAAACAAAGTGCTGCATTGAAATAAATAATTAGAAAAAGAAGGAAAAGATCTCAAAAAAAGATAAACAATTTAAAGTAAAAAACAACAGAACAAAGAACAAAAAGAAAAAGTAAAAAGAGCAAAACATTAGTATAGTTAATAAGGAAAAACAGAGCAGAGTAGATGAGAACATAGGAAACTATAGCATAGAATTTAATATAGTAATAGAAAGTATATTAAGGGAAGTAATAGAGGGAACAAAAAGTAGATAGTTATAAATAGTAACATGATAAGCTGTAGCATCCTTCCTCTAGATAATTTTTGGTTTTCAAAATTTTAGTAACTAAAAGCAAGAGGTTAAAGGTCACTATAGCAAATCATACACAGGTATCAAAATAGTAACTAGATAAGTTAGTACTTAGAAATTAATTACTATTTATTTTTAATATTATATAGTAATATTTTAGCTATAAGCTGAAATTTGATTAAATAAAGTATTGGCATAATTGCTGAATTTTTAAAAAAAAATTTTTTGGAATACAATCTATACAAATATTCACTTAGAATTAAAATTATTACTAATGATC